GATACCCCCCATGCGTTGCCATTTCTGAGGACTCAGGTGTTATTCCTCTGTACCCAGGAAATTCACGCCGTATCCCACCCTTCAAACCGAAACACAGCCATGCAAACACAACTGCTTCACGGTTGAAACAAAGGGAATAACGGGACAAAGGTACCCAAGCAATCGACTTTTGTACAAAGTCTCTCTCTGGTAAAAACACATGTTAACCTAATTTCATAATGTATGACGAAGGTATTATTAATAATGGGGTCTGAGTGGAGTCTAATGGTCCCATGATTAGCAATGCACCTTGTCAGGTCGATGAATTTACCATAATAGATAAACTAGTCTGCTTTCAGTTTGATCCACTTATCGTCCCTATTATCTTATATTAATTATATATTAAAAGATAGACTCTTATCTTAAAAAGAAATCATCCCTACACTGATGCCCGTGTGCACCAGTTCCACAGGGGATTACCAATTCATTTTAATTTAAAAAAAAAATCATAGCGATTGGTTAAGCCATTTAGGTTCTAAGAGTAAACATCGATTTATATAATATTCCAGTTACAATATATTAATCAAGTTAAATCCTTTTTTTTTAGCAGGTCGCAAAATTAAAATCAATTACATGTATTTACACAATATTATATGATACAACATGTCTAAATCTCGTTTTTATATTCAGTTCAAATTATCATAATTTATTCCTAATGGGCAGGATCTCAGTTTCTTATTGTCTCTCTATAAAGATCTCAATAAAGCTCTAGTAAAAATGTAACTAAGATAGTCGTTGATTCGATCTCTCTTCCGTTCGGTGCTCGATCCCCGCGATTATATTTCAAGGGTTTCAGTAAATTATAAAGATATAATGTACTTTGATATTGTTCAGTCAGTGTATTTACAAGAAATAAACCCGAAGTTTAAATTCGTTTTTAAAATTTTCAGTTTCATTTCCCAAGCCATCAAAATCACGAGTACCCACGATCAAACATTATTTGAATGGGCATACAGATATTTCTACAAAGTAACGGATGGGTTATTTTACGGGAGTATTTTTTTTTCATTTTGTTGCAATAAAACAATACTTCTGTTTAAATTTTTCAATTTTACATATAACTATACAAACATACACACAAGACAGACATACACAGTAAAAGAGATGAACGAATGAAAAACAAAATAAAACAACAAAAAAAAAGCAAAATATATAAAACAACAATTTCTTTTTTTTATGCGTGTGCATAGAAACACAAAATAGTCACAACTCAGTTTATTGTTTTGCCTTCACAAGAGCAAAACACTGATATTCTGTTGTGGTCAAGAGCCAGTCGCGAAATTCCTTAATAAAAATATTAATAAAAAAAAGAAATATAATTAAAATACATTGTGTGTGTCCATTACATTTGCCTCCTGACGTAGGTATAATTACGGGTTAGAAATTGGGTATTGCTTTATAAAGGACTAGATTTTACTCGTAATTTTGCGAGACCGGGACAGAATAAATAGGCAATAGACGAGACGTTGTAATGCAAAGCGCCGTACGCCCCCTGAAGAATTCTGGATGAATGTAAGTTCATAAAATTCCCGTTGTATATGTATATAGACATCTAGTATTATCATATTATTTGTTATTTCTGTCGTTGACATACACATTTCCAAAGATATTTTCAAACGACTAATCTATATTATGAAGCAATTATCGAATGTATGTAAACGCATCATTTCAGATCAGGTGCATCTATTTAGCTACTTTTTTTGTCGTGTTTGTAATTATCAGAACAAGGTTTATATGAAAGAAAATGTACAAAAAACCATATGGATAGTTAAAAAAAATAGATTAGTAAATTTTCACACAAAAAATTGAATGCACTAAGCATGAGACAAAAGATAGTAGGGAAATGTTAAAAAATTATTATAGTATTTACAGGTTAACGTTAAATTCTTATATTTTATTTCATTACATGGCATGACCATGTAATGGAATAAAATATTATTCCAATTTTAAATTAAATACAGAATAAAGTCGGATGCAATGATACAATAATAAATTCGTATTTAATTTTACTTCGCTGTATTTCATGTGAAACGATTTTTCGAACAGCAGTTTTTGTAAAGGTACTATGCAAGTTGAGTTTGTCTCGTGAAATTTTTAGACCAATAAATTTACTGCTTACGTGTATAAACTTAAAAGTACATGAATAAATTTTTATTCCGATCATGAATTAACATATTATCCTGAATATATGAATAAAGTAGCGAAATAAAACTAATAATATTAATAATTAATAAATATAAACAAATAAAGTGTCAGTACTGTTTGTGATAAAAGTCACTAATAATACAAGTATAATAATACTTAAAAATATATTAGTTGGGCTGTATTTGCATTTATATTCTTGATTTAGACATTATTGAATGGAATTGGTAAAAGCAATTAGCACCAGTCAAAGCCTGATTATCCTACTGTGGTGTCGGTATCAGGTAACAAGAGACTATTGGGGAGGCAACTAAGTGCCATCTAGCGAGTAATCGGATTACTAATGAAATACAAGAAGATCGACTTTTATCGTATCGTTAAAAATTTGCACGAGTGTACTAGGTAAGTTAAGGCCCACCCTGTCCAATAGGAATGCGAGCAGATCCTGATTTATTTACGGTCCAATAAACTGTTTAAATATTGACAATGCAAATTGTAAATAGAAACGTTTGTACGAACAGTTTGTATACAGAGCGCGCAAATATCTAATCTAGAGAGTTACTCTAAGAAAATTGATGCAATTTTTATTATTTTAACATGCATATTAACATGAGATTGTACGTATAACATTTATTTATTATAACTAAAAACAACTTCAGACTACAACTAATTAGATTTGCATACATTTGTAATGCCTTTGATATTTTAAACCGGAAACTCAGTTAATGAAATGGTTAAAAATAGAATGACAACCCATCTACGTCATGGATATATGCTGACGGAGGCAGCAGTGGGAGATGGCAGGTGACAAGGTGACGATGAAAGCAGATCAGTTAGCCCATCATAACGAATTCAACAAGAATTAGAGACGATGATTTCCAGGAAGAACCGTGTGAAAATCGACCTGATAAAATGTACTACAAGGGGACTATCAGACCCTATTATTAATAATCTCTTTTCTCCCTGCAATAATTATCTCTGGTTTAATAGCAGTTTCAGTTTCAAGTATGGCATATAGCAGTGATATTATGATACATGATATAGAAACTTGACATATCATTCTCCTTAATAATGGCAACCCATGAGTTTGTGATTATTTTGGCATAAAATTTGACATTTTTTTCTGATCCCTTAACTTTTTCCACTAGTGTATATATATATATATATATATATATATATATATATATATACACATATATATATATATATGTGTGTATGTGTGTGTGTGTGTGTGTGTGTGTGTGTGTGTGTGTGTGTGTGTGTGTGTGTATGTGTATGTATATACTATTATATATATTTTTATGTTAATTATCTGCTCTCGATTATTTGATTTGGTTTATTGTGGAAACTTTACTGACTTTATGTTATGGTTGTGTATACTATTTTATATGTCTCAGGTATTGTATGTTTCCCTTTTAAAGTATAATAAAAATGAATAAATTATTATATCGGTTACAATTAGTATGTCATTAGTACCTATTCCATTATAATTATTCCCAAGTGGTCTCGGCATAGAATAGGCCACCCTTTTCCATGAGTGTCGCAAGAGTCGACTAAAGGAACTTAATATTCGAGGAATAAGCAACAGCGTCCCTCTTAACACATCACTAAAGCCTAACTGCGACTGCCAACTTGCCTGCCAAGAGTGACAAACACTGGCAAAATCCCCCAATACAGGAAGGCCTATGTTCAGCGGTGGACAATTATCTGTTTAATATTATCCAGGTTGTCTTTAAGAGATTGTTATTAGCAATAAGGCCGCCTTTTGTATATGCTATTTATGTACAAATACTCAATAAATACTAAAACAAAGTAATGTAATTCAGGTAAAAACTTTTTTTGAATCATATCGGGTTTGAGTGTACTGGATTGTGTTTATTGCTGGACTGAGTGATAACCGGGGTGTTCTGGCTTTAAAACTAAGCGATAGATATGATTATGTAGCACTTATTATGATTATTATTACACTCATTGAAATGCTTCTACAATTTTACTGTCATTGTTATTAAAGCACTTAATACCTAAAAAGATAAACGCTAAACAATAGGTTGTTGTCCATTGGTTTCCTTTTATGACTCCACGAAACAATACCTACATTACAGAATTTATTATAATAATATAGTAAATACATATAAATGGTTACATTATTGCTTTAATATATAATGCATTATATGTATATCTTACAGACTTACAATTTACTATTATCGATCTATTGTATATGTGGAATAAACAAACAGTTATTTTAATACAATATTTCTATAATATATTTAAAAATATTTTTAATGCGTAACCCTGTATATGGGAATCCTAAAATATGAATACATCAGCATTATCCAACTAACTGTTGTCGTATCATCCCAGCATAGAATGGGCCACCATTTCCTTTCCCGTGGGTTAATGGTTGAAAAATGAGCAGCAGCGTTCCTCTTAAAATATCACCAAAAGGCTAATTTCGGTTGCCAACCTGCCTGCCAAGCGTGGCAACTACTGGAAAAATGGAGGAAGCCTATGTTCAGTAGTAAACAGTAAATGACTTATATGAATATGAATACTGTCCAATATTCAATATGAAAGAAACAGTTTTGAGTTAGATTAACTATACGAAAAATGTCTGTTAGTCCATTGTACTCTAAAATTGCCAAGAACAAAACTAGATAATGACAGAAATGTTACGGAGTAGCTTTCTGCTGGCTCTTCGTACACGCGGATATCAGAAGAAGAAAAAGCAATGAAATAAATCACTTTTAGATGGCGTTTAAAAATAAAATATACACCAGTCTTTAAGTTAGATCTTCAGGAACAAAACAATGAAAGTTGCGTTTAATTTGAAGTAGTAATTTTTATGTAATCTCGGAACAAATATACAAAATTTAAAAAAAAAAATTGTTTGCTTCCATTGCTCCTATTAAAATCCCTTACATATTGTTTTTTAATATAATTTATATACAAACAACGTTCAGTCACAATTATATTATATTAGTAAGATATCATAAACGGCAAGAAGAATCCCAATGGCAATACATTATGAAAAACACGAATGGTTTTGATCTCAATAATTTACAATTAAAGAAATACGAGATACTTGTATTGTAATTTTGTATTAAAAAAAGTGTCCATCAGCTTACATTCTACATTACTACAGATTCTACATTATTATTATAATATTAATTTAATGTTAATGTAATTAATATTATAAATTCTGCGTCTAATAAGTTAGAACTCAATAATTTTACTCCTTAATTCTATCTTTTAGCGGTTGGAGATAAAACTACTAAGGATGACGTACAACTATTAATGACTAAGAGAAGCTTTCATTATTTAAAATGATAAATTCAGTTTCTAATATAATGCAATAGAATAAATAATACTTAATTTCAATATACATTTCCTTCTATATTAAGTATTGTCAACTTACATTAAAATTGAATATATGTAGTAAATCTAGTCGCGGTAGCGTATACAGCCAAGTATTTACCCAATGCATTTATTTCACTTGGGATGTAATTCAAGCCCAATATTTGGCTTGGCTATTTTTTATGTACAGGTTTTGTTTTTTTTGTTTAATCAACTTATTTCCATAAAATTATTCCTAAGTTAGTATACGTCTTGTTTATATTATAGTCATAACATAATACCTAAGTTGCTTTTCTAATAATAAGCTTGAGCTTCAGTTATATACAGCACAATTGTAACATGCATTGTATAAATAATTGTCTCTTAATATTTAAGAATTTATAATACCTATTAAGTAGCAAATGTGGTAGTAGTACCAACTTTGTACACAGAACTTGGCAATTCTTTTTTCGGCGGAATAGAAACAATGTGTATTCCTAATATTAAACTTGGCTCTCATTTCGTATTTATGTTTTTAATAGGATTATTTTTATTCCAAGTGACATTATAAATCTTTTACCGGATACATGATTAGTATAATCAGAATTGCTTGAATATTTTATTATCTAAATGTTAGGTATAGATAATTTGCAAATTTCTCATTAATTATAATTTCGAACATAATAATTATGCCCTAAAATTTGTATTAAGACTATTTATTACATTTTTGAAATTTAAAACTGGCATTTATATAATCAGGTTCCGGCGAGCTTTCCCTTATTTCTGTGTTTTGTTTCTCCATTAGGTATGTATAATTAGTATCTTCATCAGTTATTATTAAATTTTGAGAATGATTTGGTAGGCAGTCGTAGACCGGTATATCTAGAGCAGTGCTTGAACGCATGGCAGTAACAGGCCGTATATTTGGTAATACATCGTAGTACTCATCCAACTGTGGTGTAGATGCAGATTTCTCTTCATCATTGCCTCTCGTAGTATTATTCTCGTTTAGTAGCATATGTAAATCTTTTAAACTTGTTGTATTCCCATTATTTTGTGACTTCGTCAGTTCATTCTCGCAAATTTTTAAAAGTTGTTCTTTCAAAATCATGTTCTGTTTAGGCGGTGCCATTGGGTGGATTTTTAATTGTTTGGAAATCTTTGAGTATGTCTCTCTAAAATTTTTTGGTAATTCCGTCTCCTGATTCTCGGAACTATTTGTCAGTTCTTTAAGATGTATGCTTTGATTATTGTTATTTTGTGTTTGCAATAGGTGATTGTAGTTTGTTGAGTCATTCGATGTCTGTGTAGTATAATTTCTTGTATCCTTAGAACTTTCAGGTTCTTTCATTATATTGTATCTGACATTACTTTTCTTGTACAATAAATATGAAATTACAATTACTAACACAAATAATATTACAATGGTGAATGCCAATAAATAAACAGAATAAGTTGGAAGTAACACTCCATGTTGTCCTGAAACAATGTAGCAATGTAGTAAAATACCATTCAATAACTAATCTAGAATAATTTAAGGAAAAAGAAACTAAATTTAATTCTAATCATAATAACATCATAAGTAACATAAATTATAGTAATGAATGACCGAAAAAGACAGAATATTTTAAGAAATGTGAACATAGATCTTAGATGCAGCGATATGCACTTTGTATAATGAGGTCCCTGGTTCAATCCTCAGTCGAAAATTAACTTTTCTGAATCTGTTTTGGTCTGGGTATTTTAAGATGTGCCCCTAAATGTTTCTTTACCTGATTGACCATATGTATATGTTTTAATTTATATTACTTTTATTAACACTCTTTGTATCAATCTTTCTTAAATATTTCTCATGCACAAACATCGTCTAATAAGTAACTATTTTATTATATTCACAAGATTGTTATTTAATAATTCATTAATTAATTATTGAGGGACTTGGTTTAATTTTAATTACTAACTAGTAATAGAGAGCTCACTTACTTTCTTCTTTTAGTCGTTGCACTTCATTTTCGTAATAAATACAATTATATCTTTTATACATTGTAACCAAAAACTGACATGTACGACTGAACCCACTGAAGTCTTACATTAATGTTGAAAATATAATTTATAAATAATATAACAAGGATAATATTAACGTATTTTCCTTCTGATAGTTTATTGGCCTGATAACTTCTGTCTATATTGCAAATTATGAACACTATTATTAATCATAATGTTTACTTATATATATTTAAACATTTTACATAAAATAGGTATGCCAGTGGTGTCTATATATATGTATATATACAACTTAGAATGGAACTTACAACAAACAAGCTGACGGCCCATGAGATGAGCAGTACTATGGACATAACAGAGTATATATACTGTTTCGTCCATGATACCCCCCATGCTTTGCCATTACTGAGGACTCAGGTGTTATTCCTTTTGTGCCCTGTAAATTCGCTGTCATATCCCACCCTTCAAACCGAAACACAGCCATGCAAGCGGTAGAAACACGAATAGTGCAGAGGTGCCCAAGGAAACGACTTTTGTACGATGTCTCCTTCTTGTAAAAAATACATACATATGAGAATAGACTTCTAGATATTTCATTTCACACTTCATTTAGAAACCTATTGCACATGATAATTATTATCGTATAACATTCTCATATAACATCGTAATTTGTTCCCGAAACTCGTTAAATTCTATGTAGGCATTAAGTAGTATCACAAATGGGACAGAGGTGCCCAAGCAAACGACTTTTGTACGAAGTCCCCCTCTGCCTATTATATATAGTTATATAAGTCGTGCCTCAGATCAAACTATTTATAACTACTTCTCTCCGTCCAAAGGTTGCCTGGAAGAGATCATTTTTAGCGATAAGGTTTACTCAGTGTGAACATTTCTTAAAATTGTTTGTATGAACAATAAGTTTACTACTATTATCTTTTGGAGGAAACAATAAAGAGTATCTATCTATTTATAAATCGTGATATTATACTTGACAAAATTGAGATGTGCAAGCGTTATCTAGTATAAAATAAATATATATATATATAATACTTGATAAAGCTTATATATCTCACTAGCTTATACATATACATTGATTTCACTCGATAACTTGCAAACGCCAAATTTCGCAATTTATATGCTATGCTGAAATCCGCTCCGAACTAGTTACTTGTCCCCACTAACTTATTAGTAAGATAAACTATATACTATTATACGCTCTGAGATAATATTATTAAATAGTTTAAAAGGGAATCCTGCACCCATGTTTATCTATATTACTACGGTCATCTAAAATGCTAAGTGCTGGGAGGAAAAGGGTAGAAGTAATAGTTTTTAAAAGTCTGTTGCTAACAATACACCCTATCAGGTCGACTTCCATGCAGTTTCTGGAAACCATTGTGGTTAATCCTTTATGATTTCTTCATGATGGGCTAACAGACCTGCCTTCATCTTCACCTATCATCTGTCACTGGAGCCCCGCCAGCGTATACTGATAGCGCAGGCGTTCCATTCCATTTCCACCAATTAAAAAAATGCCAAGTGCTGGTACAAATGTCTTATTAACGGTGACAAAGCCCTCTTTTTTATACCACGAAGGTGGCACACAAACATACAGCCCGTCTGATAGTAAAGGGTTACTGTGGTGTGAAGGGTGCGCGTCGGTACACTGAAGAAACCTTAATACATTCTTTTTGGAAAACCCCATACTGTAGTCTCTAGAGACAACGTTGGCAGGGAGCTTATTCCACAGTCTGAGTATTCGCGGGGAAAAAATCATTTGTAACCACAATGTAGATACGTGACCATTTAGGTTCAAGCACGTAAGGATGTATTCTCTTTCCGTGGATGGATCCGTTCCTTATGGCCGTCTGTGGGGGAGGTCTATGTCCAGCAATGGACAAATATTGACTGAAATGATGATGATGACTATAAAACTACAGGGTATTTATAAAATATAAATATTATTTCTATTATACCGCATAGCAATTATATGGTATTTTGATCTTATTAATATTATTTCTTTTAATTATACTTATATAGTATATGTATATTATTGTACTGTTACTTTTCTGGGTGGAACATACTGAGACTGTAAAGCTCACCCAGTTGATCAAATAAATAATTAATAATAATAATAATAAAGTATATTAATAATAATAAAGGTTATAAATAACCTTTATTCTTTAATAATATTCTTATGATAAAACTACAAAATTCATACTAAATTATTTTTAAGAACTTTTATAAAATGGTAGTAAATATTTAATTCGACAATGTAAGGGTTCAAAGGATAAAAAAATGATTCATTCTATAAAGGAAATTGTACTAAGTCCGGCCGGAATTACTTTCTGGTTCTTTTCATTCGAAGATTATAACGTTTTATCCGTATAATTTGAGACAAAAAGCCTCTGTGACAAAGAGTTTTTGTAATAAGCACTTCGTAAAATATACTTACCTATTTTCGTGTCATAATTTTTTTTATCAAATTAGCCATTTGTAACTCATATTAGAATACTTATTATAAGTAACTGACTGCCAGTAAATAAAAAATTGAACGCAAAGAAAAATTACAAATATGTGTACATGGCGGACTTAATGCTAAGAGCATTCTCTCCCAGTCAACCATAGGGAAGTGTCAGAATACTCGAATGAATTTAATTTAGATACTAATTCCATTTAAATGCTAGTTGGGAAATTTTTATATTCTTATAGCAAATTCTTTATGGGGTAAACAGTGTAAATTATCTCCGGATTACCTCTACTTTTACAACTACCCTCACTTCTGAATTTATCCACTTTCATATAATTTGACACATAATTCTTCTAATTAATAATTAATTATTATTATGTTATTAATTATCTAAATGGAAAAAAAACTTCTAAGCATTATTTTCTAATCTAATAAAGATGAAAAACTTGATTATTTTTGTAATAGATTGTCTCGAAATTTTTATAATAGGTTTAATAATGAAGCCTAATAAAACTTTTGCAAAGGATTTCAATCGAAAACATAAATACATCGATGAATGAGATGTTTTATAGACACACAAGCTTTACACGCAACTTCTTTCACGTGACCGTTTAGTAACTGGAATAAAAAGTAACCTTATATTCTTTATTATCCCAAATTGTATATACATATGTACCAAATTTCATAATGATTAGTTAAGTCGTACACTATAACATAATAAAACATTTTGCATTTATAATATTAGTAAGAATACTTATTTGATTAAGAACAGAGTTGGCCAAGTAAGTTCCTCTCTCTTTCTCTCTCTCTCTCTCTCTCTCTTGCATTGAAACTACTGAATGATGTTTTTAGTCAGTATCCACAATTATACGTACGAGTACCTCCAACTTACTAGAATTTCGTCGCATAACCACAGTGTTTATGTTCAAATATTTAAAATATATATGTTATTTCCATTTCCATTATTGCTATATAATTATATAGCATTTTAATCTTATTATTATTATTTCGTTTAATTATAGTTATAAAGTATATATTATTGTGCTGGTGTTTTCCTGAATGAGCGTGTAGGGAAACTGTAAATCTCAATCACTTAATCAAATAAGTAAATAATGCAGTGCAATGGGGGGAAAAGGATTGTTAGTAATGGAGACTGAGAATCCCATTAATATACCCAACCAGGTCGACCTCCTCGCGGTTCTCCTTGGAAACAAACCTGGCTAATTCCTGATGAATTCATCATGATGGGCTAACTGGCCTGTTTTCATTCTCATCTACCACCCTTCACTGGTGCTCCGCTAGCGTATGCCGTTAGCGCAGGCCGGGTTACCATACCATTTTCACCCATCAAAAAAAAAAATGCAGTGCAATCGAAATATTGGTAATAAAAATCATGTATATAGGTAGGTAGGTGGCCATGTAGTCCCAGCATAGAATAGGCCACCCCTTCCATTCCCGTGGGTATCGTCAGAGGCGACTACCTGAGGGCGAGAGGTGGGCATCAATGTCCTTCTTAAAACATCTTTAAGTAGTTGCCAACCCGTCAGCTAAGCATGGCAACTTCTGGCAAGACCTCTCAAGGGCAAGGCTTATGTTCAGCAGTGGACAGTTAAAGGCTGACATGATGATGATGTTGTTATAGATACTATTTACCCGCAATGATGTCGCGTTAAGTCCCTGCAGTTTGTTTAAAATATGTGTCAACAACGCAAAAGTTTAAAATTAACTAATTTATAGTCACTTTAAAACATCTATTACTTTAAGTTTGAAGACAAAGGTTTCGTCTAAAGTTTGAGAATGTTTAACGCTTTAATCCACACTATTATATGTAGACTCAGTGCTTACTGTATTACTGTATTGTAAGAAAGATAAACTCATTGTTATAGTTTACTACACTCTGGAATTCCTCAGATTTGGCTTAGAGACTGACATTTAGTGACAGATATTAAATCAACTTCTTATTATAATTTTAAGTTTAAAAGATTAATTCAGCAAAACAATATAGCTTTAAAAATAATAATATAAATAAAGTTTTTCTATGATAAATTACAGCTATTACTAGCTGTTACTTATCACAGATGTTTACTCCCTTATACTTCTCCATCCCTTATAATAATGTGAGTCAAATTTTCATAGCGCTCGATTAAGCCATTAAGACGCTAAGAGATAACAAATAATAAAACTCTGGCGTGAATTTACTGGGTACAGAGGAATAACATCTGAGTCCTTAGGAATGGCAACGCATGGGGGGTATCATGGGCGAAACAGTATACACTGTTATGTCCATGGTACTTTTCATACCTATAGGCGACGGTTACCACTTTCCATCAGGTGGGCCGTCAGCTTGTTTATCATTCTAAGTTGTATAAAAAAAAACTCACTTTTGCATTTAAAATATTAGCAAAGAAAACAAATAATATTATATTATTTCAAAATAAGGGCAGGAAGATGATAATTAGTAAGAACTAGTTATATCCTGCAATTAATAAATATTTAAAGTATCCTATGTACTATGTTAGAATATAACCTGCTCGTATGCCAAATTTCACTCAAATCCGTTTAGTAGTTATTGCGTGAAAGAGTAACAAACATTCATCCATCTATCCACATCAAGACATTATTTTGCCATTAAATGGTGGAATAATAGCTTAGTATTTAATTA